CTCGCTGAATCGGATAACGACGACCTCGAGGACCTCGGCGAAGAATATGTTGAACAGCAGTGGGGATAGCACACATCCTTGTCGCACGCCCTGTGTGACGAGGAACCAGTCCGATAGTTCTCCGTCGTCCATGCGCACCCGGGCCCGCATTCCATCGTGGAATTGGCGGATGACTTTGATTAGCTTCGCGGGAATCCCGGCCCTGGCCAGCACCTTCCATAGCATCTCTCGGTCCACCGAATCATACGCCTTCTTCAAGTCGACGAAGCACATGTAGAGCGGTATTTTCTTTCTCCGCCCCAGCTCCTGGAGGCGACGCACGACAAACAGCATGTCGACGGTGGATCGCCCGGGTCGAAATCCGCAATGTTCCTCCGGGAGGATGTTGTTGGCTTCGCAGAAGGCGCGTAGACGGTTGGTGATGATCTTGATGGGAACCTTGCCTACGTGAGATAGTAGCGAAATCCCCCTGTAGTTGTTACAGTTGGACCGGTCACCCTTCTTGTAGAGCACCTTGATGGTTGCGTCCTTCCACTCTTGGGGGGATATTTCCTCCGTTCCACACCTTGACGAGGATGGTATGGAGGTGTCTCAGGACAACGGGTTCGTCGTCATCGATCTTGAGCAATTCGGCAGAGAGGGAGTCATGGCCGGGTGCCTTCCAGTTCTTGAGGCCTTTCGCTGCCCGTGCCACCTCCTCGAGGTCTGGCACCTTTCCCAACCGTTGACTGTCACGTGTCGCTGGCCGCTGCGTCACTCGTTCGATGATGTCTGGGTTCAGGGTGGGGGATTTGGTGTTGAGTAGGGTGCTGAAAAATCTCGCCCACCGTTGGAGGATGTCGTCCCTGTTCCGGAGCAACACGCCGTTCTCATCCGCGACGAACTGCTGTCCCCCTGCTTGTCTCCCGCTGAGGCCCACTGATCTCTTGAGGTGTTGGTACAGTCCTCTCATGTCGCGATCTTTGTAGATTGCTTCGAGTTCAGTCACATATCCGTCCAGGTGGGCATAAATGCCCGTTTCGACTGCTGCAGCCACTCCCTTACACGATGCTTTGAGAGTTCTCCACGTTGCTGAGTTCCAGTTGCCCCTCATCGCCCGGCGCGCTTCCCGCCGTGTGGTAAGGGCCTCCTCCAGCACTGCTCTCGTCTCTGGGGTCTCACACCACCCCTGCGTGCGGCGTCTCCGCGGTTCCTCCCCTAGGGTCGTCCGCGCTGCTTCGAGGAGAGCATTGGTAAAGTCGGTCGCCAATTCCTCGGCGGTGGTTGTTCGTTCGTCCAGTCGTGTGTCGAGGTTGAGGAGGAACCGATTAGTCACCGCACCTCGTGCTGCTTCGAACTGCAATTCCCGTCGGTTGAATTGCTGCTGTTTCGGTTTAGTCCGGACTGCACGGTTGTGGGCAAGCCTGCCACCGACGTTGATGACGGTGGCTACTACCATGTTGTGGTCTGAGTCTGCTTTGACTGGGCGAACCGGCTGGGGGATGACAACCACGTTAGATACTAGGCCGTGATGTGCCTGCCTTGTCAGGATGTAGTCAAGGCGCTTGCAATCGTTTCCCGACACACCGTTGTATGTGTGCCATATTCCGCCCTTGCGTGTCTCGAAGAACGTGTTCGTGAGAGCTAGCCTGTTTTCCGTTGCGAAATTCAACAGTAGCATGCCATTGTCGTTGAGCTCATCACGCCCGTACATTCCTATTACCCTTCCGTCCCCTCCGTCCAACCTATCTCCCGTCCGCGCGTTGGCGTCCAATAGGACATACACACATTCTTTGGAAGGGATCCTCCGCACGAGACTGTCAAGTGTTCCCCAGAACACGCGCTTGCTGTCGGCGGTTGAAGGTTCGGTTGGAGCATAGGCGGCTACGAAGTTGACCGCTCCACGGTGGCCTGCCAACAGAAACCTCATGGCCATAAGGCGTTCGTCGATAAACTCCGTAGTGAACGTGGATGTCTTGCACAGTGACTCTTTGACGGCTATCCCCACACCATGGACTCCACCAGTCTCCGTGCCACAGCAGAACACCCGGAAACCCGCTGCTGCAAATTCCGTTCGACCTGCCCTCCGTGTCTCCTGCATTCCTACCACCGATACGTTTTGTCTCGCGGCCTCGTGTAGAATGCTGTAGGCTCGCCCGTATCCATTGGCCCCGTTTACAGCCAAAGTCCGCACATTCCAGGTTGCTACCCTAAGAAGTTGACCCTGCTGTCTCTTTCGCGCGGCGCGCGCTGCTCTCTTAGCTAGCCTACGCGCCGCCCGACCCCTCCTTCTCCTCCATCTCCCCCTCATTTTTTGTTTTTTTGCTATTTTTTTGCGAACACTCGGGCTAACGTAATGGTTACCCCGGTTCTTGCCTTGTTTCCCATAGAGTTGTCTTCTTGTCCCGGAGCGGTGTGGCCTTCCATCTCTGGACTCTCTCCTTTCCTCTCTCTGGGGCATACCCCCACGGCGTGCGGTCACTCCGCCACCCTCACCGTGCTCTCTGCTGCTGCATAACCCCGGTGTCCAAGCCGGGGCGTTAGGGTCCAGCCTCATTTTGCAGCTACCAAAGCTGGCGGTTCACGAGCTACCCCGATCTCACGACAGCAGTAACTCCCAACCGCCAAACTCAGGATCCCCCTCTCAACAGTGCTAGGGACCGTATATCCGTCTTTGCTGGGTGGTCTTTCGAGGTCTAGATCCACTTGCGGAACCTCGGCCTACCCCAGGGACGGGGGGGGCAGTTGTGGAACCCGTCGAATCTTTAGGACATAATAAAACAGGACGACCCAAAACCAAATCGGGATTTGAAAAAAGGTGAAATCATTTAATCGGATCCCGATTTGGGTGAACAGCGTCCATAGTTGCGGGACCACGGTCTACTCGCATACACGGCGCGTGCCCACCTACCCCCATCCACACGAACTCCATCAACCGCCGAGCACAGAGGAAAGAAAGAGCACAAAAAGCCAACCCAAAGGGAGGGTGGCTGCGCATCGTTGTTGCACGTGACTGGTGCCGAAAAAAAAACTTGTGTGGGATGTTTTTGTCTGTGGGGCAATCTCCCGTGTGGGTTGTCGAACTTCAAATGCACAGATGAATTTGGGGCTTTCCGTCGGACGAGGGTCGATTCAAAGTGTCACATGCGTAGACATCGTGTCAGTACCGCACAGAGGCCATGTACGCGTTTGGTGTGTGCTTCTCGGGAGCGGTAGCTCCCCATGTGGTGTGGCCAAGTCATAGCAGTACGTCACAACAGCAATCTGGCAGTTGGCAGGCGGCGGACCTCTCGGGTTGTTCGCGGTGGACTGCAGAGATTCGTTTCCATTTGGCAGATCTCCCGACACACAGGCCATTTCTGTCGGGATTTGGGTAGATCCGACTCTTTTATTCTTATATCGAAATGTGATTTCGAAATCTGATTTCTTCGTTGAGACCGACGCAAATATCCATGATTTAGTTTCCTGTTTCTCTCCGTGATTTATTTGGTTCAATAGCGAAAGCCGCTTTCAAGGTTCAGAATCTTCCATGCTACAGCACATGTTGTCTGCACAACAGACAACTACTTCGAAATACGTCAGCACCCTGCCCCCCAAAACCAAAAAATAAAAATACCCCTCCCGTTCGGCCTATCCTTTGCTGGGAGCAAATCTTAATATCCCTTTAGGCAAATCTTATCTCTTTCGGCCTTTTGGGCAGTCTGCTTCCCGAACGAATGCGAATCAGCTGTTCGACCTTCGAGAATAGTCACAGCTTTTGGTTGAGATGTCTACAGATCGTTTCTCCAGGGTCCATGTTTGATTTATTTCCTGCTGAGCAAGATGAGCAAAAAATCGTCCAAGATTCGGCCGAAAAGCCACCGCGGAGCAAATCTTGGGCCAAGATATGAAAAAGAGCAAAGTTGATAAATCTTTCGTGAAAATTACACATATTGAAAAAATCAAACGTGAACCTGGCGAAACAAACCGGCGATCTGTAGACACTCAGCCGAAGCTGTGACTATTCTCGAAGGTCGAACAGCTGATTCGCATTCGTTCGGGAAGCAGACTGCCCAAAGGCCGAAAAGGACAAGATTAAGATTTGCTATCCATAAAGAGAGGCCGTTCGCTCGCCTGTCTTTTTCTTCTGCCAGTTCGTTACAGCGTAGGTGTACGTGTGTCTTGTGCTTTCTTCTTCTTTTCATTTTACTTTTTCTTGTTTTCTTTTCTTTTCCAGATGGCCTTCTCTCTTTCTGATCCGTGATGTTGACTTCACTTTCCTTTTCCCCTCACATAGCGTGTAGAGGCTAGCGGGGGACTCTAGGCTATCTGTCGCTGATTTGTATTGGCTTGCTGGCCCTTCGGGTCTATTTTATTTGAGTGTACCCATTCAGTTAGCCTGTGACCACGGGAATCGACCGCGTCAAGTGTAAGATCAGTACGAGGAGGTTTTGGATTAGGGGATCGGAACGGCTGTTAATGTGAAGACAAGACAACAACACAACTTCGGAGCACGTTGCAATCACAAGGTGGGCAACAATGTGTCTGTGTTGAGCCTGCTACCCACAGGGGAGATGTCACCGTATGTTGCTCGAAGAGGTGATAAATCCTTTCAAAACACTACATTTGTTGTGGAAGGCGCTCGTTCGTGGGTACGTACACTTGGACGAAAAAATTAACGAAACAGAAGACGTCTGCCGCGTATGAGAAAATAGGTTGAAGAGCGGTTGGCATTGCTTGGCAATCGCGCCCTCTTCTCGGGGAAGGCGGCTCAATTCCTCTTACAGTACCCTGTAAATGTCGCTGAGCATACGTTGGTCTGGGATGCTGATCTTTACGGGCTTAACTACTACGTAGTCTACTGGAGTACATTTGTACGGACTATCGTCCCAATACGAGATCGAAACCCTTCCCTCGATCCCCCGGGGCGCATGTCCCTCGTCCCGCTGGTCAGGTTTTCTGCCCTGCTTAACATGACACCCACGATTCCACGACCCCCCCACCCCCTCCTTCGGCGTTCCGCCGCCCGCCGCAGACAGGGAATGCTGGCGACGATGGCGGACTCCTCCCACAGGAACGAAAAAAGCAGAACCGTCCGCCGCGGGGGGCGGCCCCGCCGTGGCGGCTGCACACCAAGGGCGGCGCTGCAGGCTTCGGTGGTGCTGGCCGTGCTCGGGAGATGTAGTAGCTACGTCCGCGCAGAGGCGGAGGTCGCAGAGGCGGAGGATGGGTCGAAGACGCCCGCGCTCTCTATGGAGCTGGACGTTGGTGACGAATCGCGGGTGACTGCCGCTGACGGATCGGAAGGCGGGGATGCAGCAGCAGCGGCGGCGGCCGCGGCCGCGCCGGCAGTGCTGTTTTCCTCGGAGTGGGCAGTGGAGTACGCGCGGGGGGAGGAAGGTTGCGACCTGGCCAGGGGGAGCTTCATGTGGAGGGGGCAGGGCTTGGGCAGCAACATCAACAGTGAGTGGGAGAGAGAGCGGGACGGACTTGCCCCGGGTGTGAACGCTTGATCTCTCTCTGAGAACATCATCTCGGTACATTTTGGACACCGCAAAATGGAATGCCATTGCCTGTTTTCATGTCGTCGGGACGCATCATGCTGTCGGGATACAGAACACACACCGAACATGATCGGAGGCAAAAACTCGCCACACCTTTTTTTGCTGGGTCGGATATTTTGCCTCTCGTGTAGCTGTTTCCGTTGCTGAGTCATCATGTCATCCTAGCCTGCTTGTACAGTTGCCGGCCACTCTCCTCTCTGCCGCCGCCGGTCCTCCATCGCACCCACACCCCACGTGTTTCGCCGCGTCTGCCTCCTGTGTCTGGGGTCGACAAAATCTCAGACATGCTGAACGCGTGGGTGTACGCCCTCTCAGTGGAGAAGTGGAGCGACATGACCGTGGTCGTGGGCGAAAACCAGATGAAATGGGTGGACTGCGGGGAGGAGAGCGGGGGAGAGGCTCAGACGGGCTGGGACTGCATTTTCAAGCCAATGCCGCATCTTTGCACCTTCCCCTCGGCGGAGGTGAGTGGGGGCGACCAGGGGTACCGGGGCCCGGGGACAAGAAACGTCGAAATCCGGCCGGGGCTCAACTTGTTATGATTTCATCGCCACAGTATGGTGGAGGATCCACCCCTGAGGTGTGATTCTTCGACCTATGTTCTTCCCTGTCGTGAAACTTTTCGAGCCTCTGCTGTTTCTTGAACGAAGCGTTTCTTAAACTGCGGGCCCGGCTTGGAGAGATGGGGATTCGGTTGAGCGAAAGCCGTTCACCGGCCGAGCAATCTCCTCGTGTGGGACCGAGCCCCGGATCGTACTACAGTAGTGGGCCTTTAACAAGGTGGCCCTGTGTAGAGCCGGTGAAGTTGCTGGGCAGACTGAATCACCCAAGTCATGCTGTACTCTCAATAGCGCCGGTCGATTATCCGGGAACATGCCGGCGTTTTTGAGGGCCCGCTGGTGTGGCAAGACTGTAGACATATCCTCCCGCAGAGAAGGCAAGGGCGGTGAAATGATGTGGGTGGATGCTGCGAGCAATGATAGTGTTGGTGGCCTGGACGGGAACATTAGTAGAGATCTCAGTCGTTCTTTGGCTTCGCCAATGCTACGTTTGTACATGGCTCCATGACGCACCCCGGAAGTGGCTGATTTGGTTACCCGCATGCAGGAAAAATATGCTCCAACAGGCTGTGTTGGCGGTTTTTCCAGCCCCCGAGTGATATCCTGTCCTCCTTCGTTTCCGCGTTTATGGAGGAACACCATTGCCACGCTTTGCCGTGCTGTACACTTGCGGGTGCACTTTTTTTTCCTGTGAGCAGTTATGTCCAGGAATCAAACCTGGCAGACTCGTCCAATCACGTTAGCAGGAGACGCACCTTATTGCAGGGCCTCGCTGACCCTGACCCAAGAACTACCAGGTCCCAATTGGGAGGAACCAACCCCCTTGCATTCGAACGTTTCGGAGGTTTTCATGAATCTGCCAACCATGGCCCAACGACTCATTTTTTGCTACTTTTCAAGTCCTGGAAGGAGTACATGGTGTCGAAAGACCTACCCGAAGCGGAGCTGGTTGAGGTGGCGAGGCTGGACCAGGACGCCGTACGGTTCCACCCGGAAGAGATAGTGGCGTCGTTGGAAGGGTCGGGGGTCGACCACATCGCTGCCTTGGCGGTGCGTGTTTGGACGTTGTTGTTATTTTTTTATGTGTTATTTCGTGAGTAACTCATAACCAGCAATGTACCTAGCAGCACCTGTCTCGGCCCCACTGGCAAGATGAGAGAAATTGTTTCAGAGGGCGCGATAGGTTTGAGAATTTGTTGCTGACTGGACGCGGGCTTTGGGCGAGAGCAGCAGCAGTGCCACCGTGGGCGAGATTGGTTTTGTGTCCAAGCACGTATTGTATGTAGTACAGTTTCAGTGTGACCTTGTTCGATCGAGGTACATCAAGTGTATTTGACAACGGCCGGCGTCACCAAATCACAGCAGGACCAGGACAACGCGTGTTGTTGGTGGCCTGCCTGTTGTTGCTGTCAGTCGAAGAACGGGTTCGCTCGGGGTGTTACCCCCCCCCCCCCCCCCCGAACCCTTCATGCGACTCGCAAAAACC